GGCGCCCTTTCAGGTGTGGTTTTCCTGCCCCAGCCCAGCAGTCTCTTGGGGAGACGTCGCAGGCACTTGTTGCTTTGGGACCCGCGTCCCTGTTAAGACTTCCTGCTTTCCTTCGCAGCCCTGTTTCTGGCCGGCACCAGGGAATGGGTGGGGTCCTCCAGGACGCGGCCTTCCGCGGGCGTCCGGCATCCCCTCGTCTCGGCCGTGCTCTGGCCTTGATTCCGCCCTGGGTGCGCCGCCCCGGCCCGGCCTTCCCTAGCGCGGCCCCAACGCGTATCAGCCGCGCTCCGCTCGTTCACCTCCCACCAGTCGGAGATGTCTCCCCTCTGGGCGCTGTTTCTCTCTCCCGCCCCGCCACCCTTTGAGTTTCCAAAGACTGCTTATATATGTTAGTATCAGGGAGGTTTTTACAATTTTATCTTTCAATGTCTGTCTTTGAAAAACAAACAACACTCACTGTTAAAACAGACCCATCTTCTACTTTTCCTAGAGTATTCCACTTTCCGAAAAGTTCTTGAGAAGGGACTCAAGATGATAAATACCCATGACAGCTCCCTGCATAGCCGGGGTAAAGCTGCACCTTCGCCTTTCCCTTTATGCTCTCGGGGCCACTTCCTGCTCTTAGGACCGTCCTACTTAAAGGTTTCTGATGTTCTGCCGTGTCATCTACGACTTTCATAAAAATCGCACCAAACCTGTCAGGTTAGAGAAGTAATGGAAACCACCGAACAGGAAGAATCATCATTGTTTGACAAAGCTGGGTTCCAGGTAATTACGGGCTAGCTGTAGAAAGGGAGTAACATCTAATTAGTATTTACTCCAACTTGTTGAACAAAGAATAAAGAGGATTTAGTTAACAGAATTCTGAGAGCTATAGAGTGACTTGAGTAAGATTAAAAATGAATATCTGTATCCTGGGAGAGTGTAGATAAAAACCGGCAAAGAGGGACCAGCAGTTAGCGTAATGGCTATGTCCCTGGACTCCCACGTAGTCGACCACCGTTAGAGTCTCGGACCCTGTGGCTTAAACTCACGCCGGGCGCGTGTGCGTGCGTGCCCAAGATCCTGAGAGGAGAATGGAGGAGAAGGGATTGCGGCTGGGGGATTTCTTGCTTTCTGTCTCTCTGTCTCCGTCTGTCTGGCGAGCGCACGCGCCCTATAGCAAAAACCTCTCCAAAAAAAAACCTGGCAAAGAAAAACTATGAAATTATCTTCCTAAAGTATTGGTTATTTTAAGATTGGCATTTGTTTTTCAAAATATGGTTGACTTTTAAATTTGGGCATATTCTAAAATCATAGTGGCATTTAAATACATTTATATGAAAATGGATTTAAAAATTGTGTTATGTAAATAATTTTTACTGGTGGTAAAAATCAGTCTTGATAGCATGGAAAGAAGACAAGAAGGAGCATGCAGAGTAGCATTTCCAGCTTGTGCCTTAACACCAGGCTATGTAGATGGGATATAAGATAAAGATACTGAACGAAAGAAAAAAGATGTAAGGGTTGCAAAATAGTTCGTTGAATGTTTGTGTACATAGAAACATAACCAAAAGACGGGATAATGTTCATTCCACATTGATTGAGTAAAGCATGTACTGTGTATTGAAGCAGCCTGAGGTCTGTTACCAAGAGACTGAAAGTAATGTTAAAGTAATCTCCTAGGAGGTAGGAGAGGGACCAGCAGCGTAATGGCTATGTCCCTGGACTCCCAGGTAGTTGACCGCGGTTTTAGTCCCCAACCCGGTGGCTTAAACTCACACCGGCACAGGGGCATGACCATCTACCCTGGGGGGGCTGATTTCTCACTTTCTGTCTCTCTCTGTCTTTCTGGCGAGTGCATGCACCCTATAGCCAAAAACAAAAACAAAAACCTCTCCAAAAGAGGTAGAAAAATCATACATTTGACTGGGAAAAGCTTTTGCCGGGGTGCAGTTAATATAGTTAGTGAGGGGAACCAGCAGTTAGCGTAGTGGCTATGTCGCTGGACTCCCGGTGGCTGAAAACTCATGCTGGGCGCGTGTGCGTGCGTGCCCGAGATCCCGAGAGGAGAATGGAGGAGAAGGGATTGCGGCGTGACCATCCCCCCTGGAGGGTGATTTCTCGCTTTCTGTCTCTATGTCTCTCTCTGTCTGTCTGGTGAGCGCACACGCCCTATAGCAAAAAAATCCTCTCAAAAAAAAAAAAGATTATAGTTAGTGAGAATAAAAAGCTAGATAACATAACTTTAAAAAAAAGTTTTTTTCAAGAGAGAGATATTTGATATAGGATGTGTGTGCTCGCCTGGGAGACAAGACAGGAAGCAAGAAATCATCCCCCAGGAGAGATCGCCACACTGCAATTCCTTCTCCATTTTCCTCTTGGGATTTTGGGCACTCACACACACATGCCCCGTGTGAGTTTTAAGCTGTTGGATCCAGGACTCGAACCGCGGTTGACCACGTGGGAGTTCAGTGACATAATCATTACGCCATCTGCTGATCACAAGAACTTAATCTACCCTGAAAGTGTGATAAAGAAAGAGAAGGGAAATAATATTTCTTTGAACATTTACTCTGTGTCAAGCACTATTCTTTACATATGTTAAACCTTGTGAAAACCAATCTATTTCGTATGTGTTAAAACTGACTGATGTGTGGATAAAGGTAATAAAAAGAAATGAAAATACCATACCCACTACAACATTGATGACTCTTAAAAACATTATGCTAAATTTAAAAAGCCAGTCACAAAAGACCACATATCTATCATATGACTCCATTTATATGAAATGTCCATTTATATGAAATGTCCAGAATAGGAAAATCTAGAGAAAGAAAGATGCTTGCCTACATCTAGGAGGATGGGGAAATTGGAGAATGATGGCAAAGGGAACAAGGGTTCTTTTTGGAGTAATGAAAATGTTCTAAAATTGATTGTGGTGATGTGACGGATGCATGAACCATGAAAATACTGAAAGCCTTTGAATTGTATATTTTAAGTGGGTGAACTGTATGGTATACGAATTATAGTTAATAAGCCTGTTTTCAAAAGCATATAGACCTGATTCACACCCAGGTCTCTCTGACTTCAGAGTCCAGGTGGACCTGTCTGTGGCTTTCCGTCACGTTTAAACTATAGTTCAGTGCCTTCTGTTATCCCCAGTCTGTTGTAGCCTCCTGACTGATTTCCTACCTGAGCCTGCCTTGCTCTTTTTCACTCTAGTCCATTCCAGTAAATAGCTGCCAGAATAATTTCCTTTCAGTAGTGTTGTGCTATGCTCATGACATTCTCTTACTTTAAGACCTCGGAGGCCTTCAGATACTGAAAGTTTATTTCAAATACTTCACCTACTTTTGAGGACTTCCACTGGGCCCCAAACCACCCCCCTTTTTCTTATTAACTTTCACCTGTCTAACCTTTTTTTTTAGAATTATTTACTTAATTTTATATATTATTATTGTTGGTATTTTAAAATTTTTCTATAGGGCACATATATTCCCAAGAGAGAGGGGGGGGGGAGTGAAAATGCAAGCTGCCAAGTCAGGGACTGAACCATAGCCACATGCCTTAACCACTATGCCACCTCGAGGCCCCCACCTGTATAATCCTGATGTTCCATCTAGTCTATACTGTTTACTCATCTTGAAATCTTTTACTTCTATATATTATGTTGATGTAATTCCTCTGTCTAGAATGCTTCCCTTTCCCTAATTCACCTATCCAAATTTTAACCAGCCTTTAAGTCTCAGCTTAGATGGGCTGTTTCTCCATGGTGGCTTCTCATTTTAAGCCAGCCTCCTATGTTTCTGTAGCAATTAGTTCACCCTTCTTGAATAGCACTTCTCACTACTGTCTTACTTGAGTTTCTTGATAAGCTTCTTGAAGATATGCTGTTATGCCTTAAAAGATCTTTTAGGGGACCAGCAGTTAGCGTAATGACTATGTCACTGGACTCCCATGTAGTCAACCGCGGTTCGAGTCTCGGACCCAGTGGCTTAAACTCACACCGGGCGCGTGTGCGTGCGTGCCCAAGATCCTGAGAGGAGAATGGAGGAGAAGGGATTGCGGCATGGCCATCCCCCCAGGGGTTGATTTCTCACTTTCTGTCTGTCTGTCTCTCTCTCTCTCTGTCTTTCTGGCGAGTGAACGTGCCCTAAACCAAAAACCTCTCCAGAAAAAAAAAAAAGATCTTTTAGTTCCTAACAGGCTCCAACAGAAGATGATGGATAACAATCCTTATTTAAAAAAAATAAAAACCACAAAACAAAAGGCTGAATTTATAATTTTTCCCTAGTTCTTGCTACCTAAAGTCCCTCATTTATACAATAAATGTTACTGAATTCCTATGGGAATACAGCAGTAGAAGGTGGACAAGTTCCCTAGCTTTCTTCAAGCTTTCACTGAAGTGGGGAATAATAGAAAATAAACAGGTAAACAAGGAATGAACATGATTATGGCAGTTTGTGATGTAGACTAAGAGAGGTTGCTCTAGGTAGGCAGATCAGGAAAGTCTCTCTCTTCCTGACAAGCGCATGTGCCCTATGACAGAAACCTAAAATCAGTGAAGGTTCTCTTACTCATTTGCCACTTTTCGCTACGGGGTAATTGTAGTAAAAATGGTAGTGAAAACATCACCAATAGAACTATGAAATAAAAATTTGATCAAGTTTACTTAAAAAATAAGCACTGTGGAAGCAGCAGATGGGGTAATGGTTATGTCCCTGGACTCCCACATAGTTGGACTGCAGTTTGAGTCCTGAACCCACCAGCTGGTTGCATGTGTGTGCGTGCCCAAGGTCCAGAGAGGAGAATGGAAGAGAAGGGATTGAGGCATGTCCATCCCACCGAGGGGTGATTTCTTGCTTTTGGTCTCTCTGTGTCTCTCTCTGTCTCTCCGGTGAGTGCATGTGCTCTGTGACAAAATCCTCT